GAATTTGATGGCAGTTTCTAGTTTTTTTTTACTAAACTCATATCGGGAATAGACATATGTATATCTAATAATGGAAATATAGAGTGGCCTGTTGCAGGCCTGAAAGTAGGTTAACATCGTGTCACGGGCGCTCGCCCTAACCACTTTCAGTTTCCCCTCTGGGAGAGACATTTCCGGGCAACCCAATTCTTGTTTCAGCGGTATTTAATTGGGCATTGAATATAGGTCATAATGGGCGCGTCAAATGGACTTTTGTACCGCTAATTAGCTTCAAGAATAATAAATAAGACACGAAAAACATTTACAAGTTTTGTAATAAAACACAAGGCTTCTTTTTTCTTTTTGAACAAATCAATAAATTAATATCTAATCTATTTCAGCGACATTATGTTTCAAAACAAGAGTTACCCAATCATCATCGATCATTTTATATCCTCTACTGTAATCAAATCATTTTTATTACACAATTAGCGGTAGCCAGAATCAATATAAATCATAATAAAAGACAAATTTTCTTCGAATATTTCAATAAAATGTGCATTAGATGTAGTTTCTACTCTCTGCGTCGTGGATCTGGGTCAGGGATCGGCCTAGAATGCAGCGGATTTACTGATTTATTGCAATTTTCAATTTCGTGTCTTTTTTTCAACCCTCATTAAATTATCAGAGGACGCCCACATGCCAAACGCTATTCTGATCAAATTGGGTTCATTTTTATTGACACAATCTTAAAATATTTGGTAACGTACGACACCCACACAAAAATAAATAATTTATAATCCTTTTACAAATTTTCTCAATAACAAACTTTGAAGTGGAGGATCTTCCTACGACTTGTAATTTTCTCGAAAAAATATTATTTGATTTTGCTTTAAAATCCTCCTTACAACGTTTACATTAAAAGAAAATAAATTGAAAATTACAAGTATTCCAATTTATAGTCGCCGACTTCTTAATTTGACATTAATTGTCAACCAAAACGATGAAAATTTGATAAAAAACAGTCGTGAATTATTTAAAAGTGGTAAAGTGTAATACTTATACAGGGTGTGTCAGACCTTGCGCCCCAGAGAAAAATTTTAAGTAAGATAAGATACCAGGAACAAGGAAAAGATATTGTGTCAAAAAAATTTGCCATTTGACATTGACATCTATTTAATGATTCTGGTGATCTTGAATACGTTTTTTGTATAATTATTTAGTAAAGGTAGAAAAATTTAGCCAAAAAAAGCCACAATCAACATTAAACAGAGTTACAATTCAGGATACAGCTTCCTCTTCTAATTGCCTGTAGCAAAAAAATTTGGAAAATTATTTTTCCAACAATAAATAAAAGAGTCTCATAATTTCAAAATTTTTATAGATATGATTTTTAATTTTTTCCATGTTCCTGGTATCTTACCTTATATAGCATTTTTTTTTTGGGACACGAGTTCTGGCGCACCCTGTATAATTTTCGATCACCCGGTATTAAGAAATTATAGGTTTTAGAATAGAAAACTGATATTTTGAATTAATAAAAGTTTAATTTTTATTACTTTTCTATTAAGGTGTTTGATAGTAAAAAAATAAATAAAAAAGCTTAAAACAAAAAAGATTTTACGTAGATTATGTAACATATACCAATACATAGAGTGACATTAGAAAATTAAGAAAAGTCTTTTTTACAACATTAAAAAATTAAAA